AATTACAGGAAGTTTCAATCCATGAGTAAAAGTCCCTATTAGTTGCAATTAAAGAATGTGTGCCTTGGTCAAGAGGACTTTTAAGCAAATGCATATTAAAGATTCTTTTATTTATCTACTTTCTATTTGGGTAGCTTTTTTTATATACCTGAAGGAAGTCACATAACTCTTTGTATATACTACTTTGCTATTTTATCATTTTTATGAGGAACAACTTTAGGCATAAATCACTCTAAAATAAATAAAAGTAGATGATGTCCAGTTTCTACTGAATGGTGCCCTCAAATTGGGGCCATTCTTATTCTTGGGAAGTACTTGTGTACACATACTTCAGCACCCAGGATACAACCTGCTTCTTAGAAACCCTGAGTGTTGATTTTGGGCAACACAAAATCTGATCTCTCTGTACCTACAGGTCTTACAAGACTTAGAGTTTACGTGCACTCAACTGGCAGCATGTTTTTTCTTCAGTGTTACGTGGCTCACTCATGTCTCCTCACCTGAATTTTAAGTTACTTGAATAAATCAGGGTCAGGATCACTACTGGAAAAAAAATGGCGCGTTCAGAATAGTATTCAGCTTTATCTATGAAGAGGCCACTTGTAAAAGACAAGGAATATACAACCTGTGGCTAGTAATGGTTTAGCCGTTAATACCTGAAGAGGGAAGGGGGGCAGCTGTTACTAGGGCCTAGAAGGAGGGAGCCCTGGAGTTTTCACAGTATTAGAAGCAGTGAGTTTTGGTTGAAGAAGACAGCCAAACCCACATGATTTCCATGGGTGGAAACCAACAAAATAAATACCATGCACTAACTTTTTTTCTCTTTATTTGATTTGCCTGGCTTCATATTGGCCACACTTTGAGTTTTTAAACTCAGACACCATGGGAATGTTCTTATTATTCAAATGAAAAGTTTGTGGCCCCCGAAGAGGAGCACACAAAGCCTCATCTGCTCCATTTCACTGTAGGGTGATATTAGTCCAGTTACATACCTGCCTGTCTGTGTTTTTCATATAAGGTTTGGGGGGAAATGGCCCCATTAAGAAAAGAAATAACTTATCACATGGCCTTAATTGGTAATCATAGCTCCTTTCCTGAACTGTTCATTCCTTTTTCCATTTACCTTCAGTCAGCATTTTGACTAGATAGGTCATTTACCTGGTGCATCAAACCACAACTTTATTCCTGCCAAATCTTATTCCTCTGCCTCCTCTTCTTAATAACTAGGTTGCTACCATTTTAGTTTTCCATTGAAATGGAAATTGGCATGTCGAAATGTGGAACTGGAAAATGAGATGGAATTAGACAAAAGGGTATTTGTGAATCTGCTAAATTCCATATATCTTCTTCCTTTTCCTTCTTTACGTAGTAAAGGCACATTTTCTTCTTGGCGCATGATATTAAGCATTGACCCCGCACCACAGTGACTGTGTTTTCTGTCAGTTTATTTTTCCAGCCACACTGAGCCCAAAGTGGTCAGGGAAAAATTTCAGCTTCTAATTCGGAGGAACAGAATTGTGACTATTTTCCTTGTTTGGAGGCAATCCTCCCTTAGGTGTTAGGACTTCTACACCCACCAAGCCCATTGTCATGAGGATAAGAAACAGAATGTTGTGTCCAGTGGATTATTGCTGTGATAGTGAAAGAGAACACTACACTTCCACCCCTTAGCTCCTAGATCTGTGCTTCCTGGTTATGCAGGAGGACACAGAACCTCCTCTGCTATGAATGTGCTCTGGTGGACATTAAGCAGGACACTAGTATCTGGAGGATAACATCCCAACTTCAAGGATGTTGTCAAAAAAAATAGTGCCTAAATCGAGGTAGAGCAGACTATTTTACTCTTCTATCAAGCCTGGCTAGTGGGGAGCATGAAGAAATCAGTGAATGCCATTCTGAGTCCATTGCCTTCCTTTTGCTGTAAAATATTTGCTGTTTGGAGGTGACACAGTGTGGGTTATTGCGGTAATGGATAAGTTATTCTGTAAGTCCACGAACAGCAGTGCTGATAGGACTACAGGCAGCAAAGACATGTCCATATCTAGAATATGTATCGATTTCTGTTATGGCAAAATTCTACCCTTTCTTGATGGAAAAGTTACCATGTAATCCACCTGTCACCAGGTAGTCAGCTGGGCCAGCTGGGAAATAATGCCATGTCAAGTGTTTAGTAATGATCACTGTCATTGGCAGCGAGAGACAAACTGGCATGCACTCAGTGGTCATACTGTCCATCTGGTCATTGAGAGCCTCCTCTGCTATGGATGTGCTCTGGTGGACACTAATATCTTCAACTTTTTACCTTTTTACCCCTCCTGACAAGTCCATGCACTTATTTTCCCTAGACTTCCTGTCACTCATTCTGTGATTTTACTTTTCCATATCCCTGATCAGGTGACCATTTATTAGTTACTGTGCATGAGTCTGGATGGACCTGTGCTTCAGGCCAAGTCTCCTTCCGCAAGAAGTAGAAAGCTAAATATCTTGTTTAAAAGTCTTCCAACTGGGAGGATTTATGTCTATTATAGTCTTTTTAGGCCACTCCTGGGTAAGATTATAGTGCAGAGCCTGTCCAGTTCCAGTGTGTTCAAGTACATCACGCAAACCTGCCCATAAACCAGGCCTACATTTACTCCTCCTCTGCCAGCTTATGTCAGGATGTCAGAGGCGTAGGCATCCTGAGGCATAGACGTGAAATGGAGGAGAAAGGATAAAGCAGAGGATGCAGTACGATGGGCAGTTCACTTATACGTTCTAGTCCAGTTCCTTATAAACCACTTCTATCTTATAGTGGAATATAGCTGTATGTGTTAATTTTTATGGTCAGTGAATCAGATAAGATGGACAGTCTGGGTTGCATAGTCACTTGGTATCCCATGGTCAGGCTAATTATTTCTACCATAGCTCAGTAGAGAGCTGCTTTTGAATCGGGGAATATTTATCGGCACAGGAGAAAATGGCCTTTCCCTAAAGCTTGTAATGCCTGTGCTCTGATTGTCATACGGTGATTGCCAGAAGCTTCACACAACATCTCTGTTTGGGAAGGACACTTGGATTACCATCGTATCTGCTGGGTCACAGGGTGAAGATGGTAGGAAAGATTGGACCATGGCCTTGGTCTGCTGCACAGCCCTCTCCTGCTCAGGTTCTTCTCAGAACTGGCAGTTTTAGAGGTTACCTGGGAATAAAACAGGTCAGCACATGTGAATGTAGTTTACGGTGTTCTTCAAAATCCAGAGTACAGGCCCTCTTTACTTTTAAATAAATATAATCCCAACAAATTTCCTCACTTTTTAATAGATATCCCAGTGTATCCCAGGCTACTACATCTCTAACATTTTCCCTAGGGATGCAGCCTCTTAAAATTTACAGGAATTACTCTTTCACTCTGCCTTTATGCAGAGAAGGTCTAGCTCCCTTGTATAGAGGTTGCTTCAGTCAGCAAGAAGACTTGTGGAAATTTTGAGGTTCAAAATCTTCAGCCGACATTCCACTATAAAATGTGTTATTTATGAGACTGGTCCAGAAAGCAGTAAGCGTAATGCACACATCTACCCAAGCATCCTTAGCCTATTTGTCAGGCTCCCAATACTTCTCTACCAATATTGCTGTCTTAGCTTTAAAACACAAGGGAAGTTGAGACCCTAATTTGTGTTGCACCTCTGCAACACCTTCTATGTTCTCTCGGACCTCAGCCGCATCTGCTCTTCAACTACAGAAGAGAGGGACTCCAAAGTTGCCATGGTGACCTTTTGTGTTTTCCTAATTTAGTTGTCATGATTTCAATTTCTGTTTATTCCTATGTAATCCCTCTGAGGTGTCATAAGAACTTCACTTATAATCTTTATCGTTGTCATTTTTGTAGCAACTGAGTGTCACAATCACTTGTCCTCCAAACGCTTTTCCTCTCTAGCTGCATTTTATTCTATGTCATCACCAGTGACAATTGATTATTCATGATTCCATCCCTTGCTATGGATTATCTATGCTCCCAGTTCCCCCCAAAAAAGTTATTATTACATCAAAGATCTCCAACCTAATCCCAAAATCTAATTTTGAAGGTGTCTTTTCTGAGTCTACTGCTGGTATTATGTTAGGGTCTTAAAAGGAAAAGAGTTAGCATATTCAATAATTTGAAAACTATTTATTTACAAAAAGATAATTTACAGAGGTGAAGGTATAGGGGATCCATAAATGACAGAACTATAATCTAGACTAGTAGCAGCCAGGCGATGTGCACCCCTATGATGATAGAAGTGAGCCATTATCAGATACAAAAGGAGAAAATTGTGTAGATGAGGCTGCATTGATAGGAGTAGTGAGATCATTTAAAGCACCCAGCAAGCCTCAGGTGACATTTCAGGACAGAGCCAAGGGAATACATACTCTGACTTTACTCTCCTTCTTCTAATCTCTTGCCACAGTACCATAGTGGCCATGCTCTAGAGAGCATGGGAGCCCTTTTGATATAGTTCATACAGGTTAATTTCCTGGGCCAGAAATCAGGTGTAGAAAAGTGGATAGTGGATCGGGGGTCACGTGAAAGATATCCAGTATATTTTTTAAAAGTTTATTTCCTTAGAGCTTAGAATAGTTTAACGAATCTAGTAGGCATTCCACTTGTTTGATGATGAGAGGATGGAAATATGACTGAATGCAGATATGAATGAATAACGACACGAATATGGTTTTGGGCCATGTTTCAGCCTTCAATTACCGTTCTCATTCTTTTTACTCTGATAGTGCTTTCATCTCCTCTGTTCACATTGTTGACAATCCATGAAATCCTGACTTCACTGCTTTATTCTTTCCTTTCTTTGCACCTTCTTTCCTTGGGATTAAAAGGGTAGCTCAGAAATACAGAATTCTTCATGAAGTTGATAAAATCCACCACACTGTATAGAAAATATGTATGTACAATGAAGATTTCAAGGACAGATGTTTGTGGGTCACTGAACCCACATCTACAGTTGTTTTCAAATAACACTCGTTTATTCTAGAGGAACTTCTGCATTCTCACATCGCCCACTGGTGGTCACCAGATGGAGAAAGGCTTGCCTTCCTGATGATAAATGATTCCTTGGTGCCTAACATGGTTATCCCCCGGTTTACTGGAGCTTTGTATCCCAAAGGAAAGAAGTATCCATATCCTAAGGTAAGTAAAGTGGAAGCGCTGTTTGTCCCCCCACTCTGTGTGCCAGTGACTTGATTGACAGTATTCTCGGTTCATGAACAAGTTGTCTTTGGAGAATAAAATAAGCCCCCTTACCAGTCGACAGTCATCATTTTGAGAGCTTGCAGTGGTCTGTGCGCAGTGCTTGTGTATGAACAGCTAAAGATGATTCAAGGGTGCAGGAACTTTTGCTGTATTTCTTTCACTTTGATGCTCTCATTCTTTATCCCTCACCTTCCTAGTTGAAAAGAGGGTGAGAAAACATAAGAAGCAGCATTGATCCCAGGGCAAAAGTTTCTCCAAGGTATATTCTGTGAGTTGTTAATAGCTATTATACAGGAGCAAAAAGTGTCACAGTCAAATAAGTTGGGAATTCTCAGTTTAAAAAAAAAAAAATCTAGCTTTTTTTCAGATGATTTCTTAGAGCACTTAATATACTGCTTGCTAATGTGTATTATAAATCTCCTAAAAAAGTAGACTGAGCATAAAGAATCCCTAGTAAGGAATAGACTAAGCATAAATAATCTCAATAAAAAATAGACTAGGGCTTCCCTGGTGGCGCAGTGGTTGAGTCCGCCTGCCGATGCAGGGGACACGGGTTCGTGCCCCGGTCCGGGAAGATCCCACATGCCACGGAGCGGCTGGGCCCATGAGCCGTGGCCGCTGAGCCTGCGCGTCCGGAACCTGTGCTCCACAAAGGGAAAGGCCGCGGCGGTGAGAGGCCCGCGTACCGCAAAAAAAAATAAAAAAATAAATAAAAAATAAAAGACTAAACATAAAGAATCACCAATAAAGAATAGACTAACCACAGAGAATTTATTAGTATTAATATTAGCACCAGTATTATTTTGGCAGAGCATACTCTGGAACATACTTTATCAAATGCTGGGGTAGAACCATAGCCAGGCATAGCTGGAATAGATGGAATTGTTTTATTGAGTGAAGCGAATATGGAAACCCTGCCCAGATAGCAAAACTATTTTTAAGTGTTGGGTGAGGCCTCTGAAAGCAGGCTGTGGAACCATCTGGAGTGTATTGGTTTTTCTCTTATATGTCATCGTTAATTATTTAAGGTCTCTTGCTTTAAAGTTTATTTTCCCCATGTTTACAAAACAAAAAAAAGTGAGCCCCCCCGCAAGCATTAATCATGTAAGGATGTCTTATAGAAAACTTTTAAAATTCAAGTTTATACATTTTAGCTCTTAATGAGGTAAGAGAAGGCTGCTGATTTCATTTAGAAGTCTTTATTAAGCCATTTCTTTAGTGAGTTGTACCTTGTGTTTCCAAAGTACAATAGGTTTTATACCTTTAAGTTTGTGCAGTACCTTAACTGGGCAGAGTACTGGAAAAATTATCCATCACGTGTATTTTTCTACTCCTGCAATGAAGGCATGGTCAGGGGGGATGACTTTCCTTATTTTCCTATCATCTACAAGACTCAAGTTATCCAAGGTGGGGACAGGAGGAAGGAAATTAGTGAATATGGAGAGTCAGGGCTGCGAAGCCTGTTTCCTCAGGGAGATTCTGTGCTATCTTTCTCCCCATCCTATCTTCCTTCCAATAGGTTGTAGTAACAGAGTGACTGATTGACAGCTACGGAAGACAGCAGGTTTGAGAGGAATAAGATTCCATGATTTTGAAATATTATTTTTAGGGTCTTCTCTGGACATAGATCTGAAAGCACGTATACTCAGTGCTCTTCAGGAAAAAATGGCAATTTGACCTAACAACAGAATAATTATATTTCCCAAGACATTTGTATGGTGCTCCAAGAAAAGTACTTATGTCTTCTCCAATTGTAGATTTAGCCATGTTTTATGTATGACAGTTTGTGCGGGTACAACATACCTGTACCAGTTTTTTTTTTCCAGAGAAAAAATTAAAAGATTTTTGAAATATATTCTCACCCCATTTGATTTACTTATAATAATGAAAGTTCACCTGACAATGTAAATACAAAATGAAGAATGGGTCCATACTGTGAAAAGCACATGTCAATGGGCAAGACAGGCACTCAGAGCTGTTCAGTGTGTGCATTGCACAAAGGGAATAAAATCAACCCCAGGGAAGGGACCACTTTCTGTAATTCATTTTCCAAGAGGAGTGGGGATTTTAGGATTCACACAGAAGAGCCATATGTAATAGCTGCATCTTCGAGTTGCCTTCTCAGTTACAGACTCCTGGTGCTTGAACTTGGACACTCCTAGGCCTTATAATTTTATCAAGGCTGAGGCAAACAAATGGACATGCAGAAACATCTGAGAAAATCTAAATAAGTCATCAGTAAGTCAGAAGATACTGGGTTGACAAACCTAGACAATTTGTTTTTATTTAATAAGTTATTATTTAATTAATTAATATTTCTTAATAGTAAAGCTAGGCATAAAATAATAATAATGTTTGTTTACTAAATGGGTAAATCGTGTGCTAATAATATGCTATATATTTTCAGGGAGACTTTTCACGTTTTTTCTTCATTCGGCCGTCTTCACAAGTGCCTCTGTTTTACAACTGGGCCAACTAAGCTTCTAAAAGGCTAAGTCCTTTTATAAAAGTCATAGTTATTTAGAGAACAGAGAAATAACTCAAGTTTATTGATTCTGTCTCTCTCTCTCTTTCTGTCTAAAACTACCAGAGGTTAACTTGTATCTCAGAAGATGTAGCTGGAATCAAAATATCTCCTTGTCAGGTTAACGAATAGATGTGGAGCTCTCTTTGCTCCATTAACTGCAAATGACTCAGCTCTGTATGAGTAAAATTCTTAGCCTGTATATTTAATAAATGATGTATCTAATGCATGATGTATGTAATACATAATGAAGGTCCTGAGTGTGTATTAATGACTACCATTGAGGAGTATTAAAAATAAAGACAAATATTATAGTGGCCAAAGAGAAAGAATCCCAAGTCCTCACGTGGCTGTCAGTAGAAATATCTGCCCAGGTGCTTAAGACAATAGGACTCAAAGAAACTAGGTCTGGGTTTTCATCCTTGTTCTCAGAATAAGTTTCAGAATAATTTTCGGTCTATTACTTGAATTTTCAGTCTCATTATTTTCTACTCTGGTTTAAAAAAAATGTTTGTTAGTTTTTCCACTAACAAATGTGTTATTTTGATTTGTTCTTACTTATGCAATAAACTTCCCAAAAGTGGTGCTTTAGGCATCGAAGTAATGCATAGAGTTCACACTAAATTGTGCTTCAAATTAAACTAGATTAAAACGAGTGCAGCAAATACCCAATGTGGTCAGGTTTACTAATGAAATACTTACACTAAACAAATATATTTGTATTTTGCTTAATTCAGCATAATTCAGAATTTATAAATACCCTATCATTAGCAATTCAGCACAAAAAAGATGCACAGTTCTATCTCAGCAACTCAGGTTAATCTTCTTAATTAAAACATTATCTCGTTTAATGACATTTTGGTTGCCAGTAAAATAAGGTTAAGTATTATTGAGGCTTGTGTTTCAGAATCATAGAGGAAGGATTCTATGGGATTGCAGTCTTTGTAGCAAATTAGACTGTTAAAAAGCGAATAGATGAACTCCTCTAATTTGCAAACTATTGAAACAATTCAAATATTAAAGGGTACAAATGAACTTGCAATGTGCACTTAATTTCAAAACTCCAAGGAAAGAAATCAAATTGAGATTATAGAATGCTAGACAGCTGAATTTTGGAAACAGCTTAATGTTTGGTTTTTGTCTAAAACTGACCATAGGTGTACACAACTTTTTTTTTAGATGTTTTCATTTCTTTACTTTCTTTCAGTTCCAGTAATTTCATACAAATTCAGAGGGAGATAACAAACTTGCATTGACTTTGAACCAAATGGATGTTAAGTGGTTATGTTTTCATTTATCAATGATCCTCTTGTTTAATGGTGGCTCCAAAGTTTTCTTTTATTTGAATCTGAAAGTATTTTAAATTCATATAATAAATTAGTTGGCATTTTTCATAAATGCTTTGTTATAGTAATGGATTTCTAACTTTATCTTGTACTTCAATCATGGACTTTTAGACTCATGGTGTGCACACAACTTTTAATTTGTTTTCATGTGAAAACTAATTGGGATACCAGTGATCCTGTATAGTCCTATAGACCTGAAAAAAACTGCCTTAATATGTGGTAATAACTGTGTATATCTTTGACAAAGTATGTCATGAAATAAGGCATCACTGATAAGAATTCATAAAAATTGATCGAATTTAATTTCATTTCTCTTTTTCTTTAATCAGTTTTTTGTTTGTTTGTTTGGGTTTTTTTTGGGGGGTTTTTTTGTGGTACGCGGGCCTCTCACTGCTGTGGCCTCTCCCGCCGCGGAGCACAGGCTCCGGACGCGCAGGCTCAGCGGCCATGGCTCACGGGCCCAGCCGCTCCGCGGCATGTGGGATCCTCGCGGACCGGGGCACGAACCCATGTCCCCCGCATCGGCAGGTGGACCTTCAACCACTGCGCCACCAGGGAAGCCCCTAATCAGTTTTTTGAAAGGTAAAAAATATGAACACAGTTTTTCACTCGCTAGAAAAATCAGTGTCTGACCATTATTTTTAATTCATGAGTTAATTAATTATGTAATTAAGTGTATACTATTTTTTGGCACTTTTGAAAATCATCTTTTTTGTTAGTCCATATAACAAAAGTATGAGATGGTTTTTTCCACTGAAAGGAAATCTGCTTTGGCTCAAAACTTCTGACTGTGACATATTCTCAGAGAAATGTCTCATTTTTGAGAATCAAATAAAATAATAGTTGAGGATCTTTAACATCCTGTCCACGGTCCATGTCCAATAAATAACAGTCAAACTTGAACCCAGATTTCTCTGATTCGTAGATTAAACTGAACCAGTTCTCAGAGTGTTGCCCTTTTATCGGCAATATCAGCCTCATCTGGGAAATTATTAGAAATGTGAATTCTCATGTCCCATCTAGACACTAAAAATGCTGGAGGTAGGCCTCAGCCGTCAGTGGTTTAATTAGCTTTCCAGGCCCTCTGGATGATTTTCATGCAAGTTCACCTTTAATAACTGCCGAGCAGTAGTATATATCTATATATAGATACAGGCACATATATCAGTGTCTTAGCAACATTTGCATACTAATTATAATCATCTGGAAATCCTCTTACAACACAGATTTTTAGGTCCACACCCAAAGATTCTGATTCTGGGTCTGAATATAGGTCCGTCCATTTGGGGCCCATGAATTTGTGTTTCTATGGTTCTAATTGATGCTGCTGGTTTAAAAAAAAGCACTTTGAATGACACTGCTAAATACTCTGCCCCAGCTCTAAATTTTAACATACCTGATCAAGCTAGAGAAATGGTTAGACTCAAAAAATACAGAGAAAGACCAATACTTTCAGGGAGAAACATGGCAATGGAATTAAAACAAAAGTGATGTGAAAGGGACCTCCTAAATGAGGTAGAAGGCTAAATTGCCCAAGACAGATGAACCCAAGCACCGGAGGGTTTTAGAGCAGTAAAAAGCTTTACAAAATTTGACACCTGAGCCTTCTCTGTGAGGCTCATAGCTTCTCTTCCAGGAAGCCCTTTATCATATGAACCATTTTCATAATCTCTCTTTATAGTCACTGCATTTCTAAAATGAAAGCCTTTCTGGACCCCTTTCTTTGGATCAAACTTCTGATGTGTGTGATATGCTCCCACAGATGTGCTAGTCATTTTTTAAATGAAGACTTTATTTTTAAGAGCAGTTTAAGATTCATAGCAAACTTGAGGGAAAGGAAGATATTTGTGCCATATACCGCCAGCTCCCACTTAGCACCCCCCATCAGAGTTGTGTGTTTGATATAATTGGTGAAGCTCCATTGACACATCATAATCACAGTACAGAGTTTACATTACAGTTCAATCTTGTTGTTATGCATTATGGTTTGGGACATATGTGTAATGAAAAATACAGAGTATTTTTCACTGCTCTACAAATCCTGCTACTTTGTTTATTCATCCCTCCTCCCTCCCCTCCATGTTCGTTATTTTTAATAACTTAACAAAACATTCTTGAGGAGCTATTACTGATTATTGGTGGAATGCATTATGTTGCTTCTCCTCCTGATTTAACTCTGGGTTTTGTCAGTACCAATTCCTTGAACATGAATCTTTCTTTTTCTTTTTTTTTTTTGCGGTACGCGGGCCTCTCACTGTTGTGGCCTCTCCTGTTGCGGAGCACAGGCTCCGGATGCGCAGGCTCAGCAGCCATGGCTCACTGGCCCAGCCGCTCCGCGGCATGTGGGATCCTCGCGGACCGGGGCACGAACCCGGGTCCCCTGCATCGTCAGGCGGACTCTCAACCACTGCGCCACCAGGGAAGCCCTGAATCTTTTTTTGGCATCTTTAAATCACTTTTATCATTCCCTTTAGATTTTTGTCAGGTCTTTTAATTCAACTCGCTTTTAATTTCCTTGTCCTTCTCTGTATATCTCACATGGTCTTCTCTTCACAAAGCAGCTACACCACAATGATACTGGTGTATTGTTTAGAAACACATTGAGCCACAAGTAGCCAATTGATTCTGTTAATTATTTATTCACATAAACATTCTTTCATTCATTCATCCTACATGCTTGAGATATATTGGCATTAAGTTCCCATTACTGCTCGCTAAGAGTTCACAGTGTATGTAGAAAAACTTTGAAGGCCTAGGAATGAATGGAAGCAAATCTAGAGCAGTTAAGAGCATCCTGGGGTTAAATACTAGCTCCCTCAGTTATTGGATGTTTCACCCTGCACAATTTGCTAAGCTTCTCCATTTTCATCTGGAAAATGGTTATAAATAAGTCTTAGGACTGTAGTAGGAACATATAATACGATAATTCATGTGATGCTTTAACACATAGTAGGAACCAGAAACATACGAACTGCTATACAGACTAGTTATTATTTCATAAATTTTGATTTAATAAACTCAAATTACATTTTCTTACCACTGTCTTTCTAGTCTTCATGCCAGGTACATAGTGAGGGCATTCTGCTCCATGGCCCACATCCCAAGGGACATTTATACCTCATTTAGTATTCATTATAATTTAAAAGAAAACCTATGATGATTAATGCATGGAAGAAATTAGGCATTGTGGAATTTTAAACATGCGGCACTGGGATAGGGTAGGTTTTCTTTTTCTTTCTTCTTCTTTTTTTTTTTTTTTAAATTAGCCAAGCTTTCTTCCCTTTGCTTTTCATATCCTATAGTGCGAGCAGCTGCTTTATCTACTAGTTGTTTTGTAAAGCCAGCCCTTCTGGTGTCATTCTAGGGGAAGAACACAGAGCGTTGCCTAATGAGTAAAGTCATCATGATTTTCTGTCACCTTTAATTGTCTGACTAAAGTGCTAGAGAAGCAGCAATCTACAAAAACAATTGAAAGCAATCATGTTGTTGCATTTAAAATCATTTCTACTTTAGAGAAATTAAACTTTTTTCCCCATTCTAACACAAAATTGTAAAAGAATCAAAATGCATTTTCTTTTCTCTTTCTGACTTACTCATATATATGGAATGTAAAAAAAAAAAAAATTGGTACTGATGAACCAGTGGCAGGGCAGGAATAAAGACGTAGACAGAGAATGGACTTGAGGACATGGTGTCAGGGGTGGGGGAGGGAAGCTGGGGCAAAGTGAGAGTAGCATCGACATATATACACTACCAAATGTAAAATAGATAGCTAGTGGGAAGCAGCAGTATAGCACAAGGAGATTAGCTCGGTGCTTTGCCATGACCTAGAGGGGTGGGATAGGAGGTTGATGCAAGAGGGAGGGGATGGGGGATATATGTATGCATAAGGCTGATTCACTTTGTTGTACAACAGAAACTAACACAGTATTGTGAAGCAATTATTCTCCAATAAAGATCTATTAAAAATGCATTTTCTTTCTTTCTCAATATATTCTAATAATGTATTTGCATTGCAACTTTCATTTTCTCAAAGGCAGGTCAAGTGAACCCAACAATCAAATTATATGTTGTAAACCTATATGGACCAACTCATACTTTGGAACTCATGCCACCTGATAACTTTAAATCAAGGTATGTAATTTCAACTTCACTTTTACCAGAAGATAGATCTCTTAACTCCAATTATCATTTTGTTGCAATTTAGAGAGAGATGTGATCAGCTCAACAAATTCACTTGAAAATAAAACTGAGGTTGCGTCCATTAGTGCAGGAATGAACTCATTGTGGATCTTTTGTTGTTCCCAGGAAGCATTTAGAGTTTTGAGGTCATTACCAGCACCACAAAATGACTAAATATACTGATACCAAGAATTAGCTCTTTGGCAGGAGATGTGACAGAGAGATGGGAACAAAGGATAATTTTCCATTGAATTTTCTTCCTGAAAATAGTCACTCAATGTTTTTAAATGGTCCCCTTTCAAAGAGTATAATCTTCCTAAAATGTGTGTAATTTTCCAACCTTTTCCCTGTAACTTGCCAATGATTCCCTAGCTTTGTTTTCCACGCAGAGAAATTTAATGAGATTTCGTTTTGAAATATCCTACCTAAGAATCCTGCTTATTTAAGTCTGAGTGGGGAGAAAAGCAACGCATTTTATGGGTCAAAAACATAATTTTAATATTAGCAGAATTTCCAATATTTGAACAACTAATCAAATGACCATGTGGATTGTGAAATCCAGAGTGGTCTCAGACTTCAAAGGTGATTCTTTCAAATATTTTAATCCTGTGAAAATTTACAGCAGTCCTGGAGATGGAAAAGGCAGCTGATTTAGGAAAATAGTTTTATACTGTACTGAATGGTATAAGGCTAAGCTTAGAGTGTGTTTTGATGACATCAAAAATAATCACAGGGTGACTGATTCAAGTAGAAATTCCATTCAGTGTTCCATTGACATATTTGGGAAAATTTCATCATATTTGGGATTTTCACAGATAGTGCAGCCTTTAGCATGTAGAAATTTTTCCTACTTGAAAAGTTATTAAAAATATATGGAATGCTTACACTGGAAAGACCCCCATTATTATCTAATATAAACTGTTCCTATTATTGGTGGAAAAGATGGGGCCCAAAGAAAAAGTATGCTAAAGATTAGTTGGTAGTAGAGGTAGAAAGTGAAGTAAAGCCTGTTTCAACTTATAGAGCATTTCATCTAGGTTGTGATGAAAGATCTTACAGAGTCATTAAAATTGACATATAGAGTACAGTACAGTTGACTAAATCAGATGAAACTTCTACTTCTGAGCTTGGTTTACCAGCCATGAAAGATTTGGACACAAATGAAGCAATTATGAAAATTATTAATATTTTATGTGATCCTTAAGGCTTATCTTTTTCTCTGGTTTGTTCAGTGCTCTGAATTAACAATAAAGAACACTAACCTGGAGTGTTTGAGTCACATCTCTACTACCATTTTATTGTGTGACCTTGGATAAGTCACTGTACCTCTCTCTAAACCTGAATACCCTAATCTTAAAATAATAATTTCTCATTTTTATCAGTTTTTTAAATCTTTCAAATGGAAGTCAATTTTATAATATCCAGGTTTCTTTCTAATAGAAGGTAGTGATTCCTGACCTTGATGCTGTTACCTAAGAGTCTTTCTAGTGAGTTCACCAGCTAGGACATAGCAGTGTCATCAAATACAAAGCTTTGTAAAGACAGAATCAATTGTCATTATTAGAGTATTAGTTAAGCATATATCTGTTTAATATTTGAGGTACAATGTGATCAAATTAGTCACCCATTGCGAAAAGATATCACATATCTTTAGATGTTGGAAATCCAGTACGTAGAATGGTATTCTAGATCCCTCTAAGAATGAGGAAGAATCCTGTGAAGAAAAAGTTCTTAACTGTAATTCAGGTATGTTGGTTTATCAATGAACTTGGTCTACATTTGGGAGAGTCATGTAATACCTTATCTGCACAATGTATGTAACATGTTTCTTTTTCTGCCTCGTAGTTATGTAAGTGCCAGTTGTGGCATGTGAAACCATTCTGGTGCACCAAAGTGTATGATTTAGTCATTTAGTTGGAAAACTCAAGACCAAAATTTACTTCAGAATGTTTTTTCAATATTCCCCAGGAATATTCAGTTTTTATGTTTCCTCACTCATTTGTTCCTGGTGAAAGCTTTAGTCCAATTTCCTGTCATCTGCATTTAACCTCTCTGAGCACCGGTATTACTTTGATGGGCCTACAAACACACAGACATGAACAAAATAGAGCTATCCATGGTGCAAATCAAAGAATGCTGCATTTATCTGCACATCAAATGGAAATTAAACTCATACTTTTCTTTGATTTTGTTTTAGGATTATCAATATCTATAATATTTAACACTTAGTACTTTAGCCATATGGAAATTTGCTAGAAAACTATTGTGCCCTCCCTAGTTAGATAGACATTTGAGATCTAAAAGAGCATAACATTTTCCATAATTTACTGGTCAGGGTCCTGGAAATTAAAAACACTCAAGAGGGGTAATTGAAGCGCAGTTAATTAAGGGACTATTAACAAAGATATGCACGGGATTAAAAGGAAACTCACAAGGGACAGGAAAGCAACACAGAGTCTGCAATAGCAGAAAGCCTTTACTGCCCCAGGACTGAAGGAGCAAGGGGCAGACTCACTTAGGAAACCTGAAGAGGCTTGTAGCTGAAGAACAGAATGGACCAACAGGACCTGTCCACAGGTAGAACAATTAAGCCATTGCCAAACCGGGCCCTAATAGGGAGTGGGTCCTGGGAATAAACACCCTGAACTCTCTCTAAAGCTTTGAGTTCCTCCAGAAGTCTCTCTTGGGCTAGGGAGCCTCGTTGTAGTGTCCAGCCTCTGGAGACCTTGGGAGTGAGTGCTAAGGGGCAAATTCGAGAATAGATTTGACAAATGGGGAATATTCAACAGACATGATTTAAGGATAATATTTGCCTGAAAATTTATCATTCTTATTACTTTAGGGATATGTTGGAGATGTCCAGAAGAACACAATAATTTGACGCCATGTGAAAAGTGTTCTGTCTCTGTTTCTAGTTCTGTTTCTGTCCCTGTCTCTTTCTCTCTGTCTTTGTGTGTGTGTGGCGTGTGTCTTTCAATCTCTCTGTCTCTTTCTCTTTCTCCGCACACGCACGCGCACACACACGCATCTATGGTTTACCTAAGTAATACTTGTACTTTTCCTGAAAACCTGCTATATTTTTCTCAAGTGCATTGTAGATTATGTAACGAATCATGTTTCAGCTGTTTGCATCAGTGTATTTTGGACATGGAGTTTACCCCTGGTGACACCTGGGTATCTCCTGTAACATATTTTCCTTTATCTGTCTTCCTAATTATATTTACCACAGCATTCTTAAATCATTCTAAGCTAACAAATTCTTTTTATTTTTTGAAAATGTTAGCTCTATGAATATACAAATTAATAGTTTGTTGGTACCAGTATTAGTAGCAATTTTCCCATATTTATTAGTGACAGTATTCCCATAGGTATTGCAAGCCTATGTACCTTTATTGGAGAATTTTGGTATGAACTTAAAAATACATAGTTAACTTTTAGAGGAAATATTTTTATAATAATGAATCATGCAGATTTAGAGATTTGTCACATTGTTTTGAAGAAGTGGTTATCTCCTGTGTTCATTCATCTCCAGGCTGAAGAATAAAGACAGTGGTTTGTCTTTAGGTTCTCCTCACTCACTGTCTTTGACATTCTACTTACCAGAAATCTTTCTTTAGTCATCCACCCTTTGTGACACATTGTTCTCAGCCTGTTTCATTGATATGACACTGTCATATTGCCCCTGTCATTCTGGGCTTGAACTGCCATGGTTTTTCTTCCTATTTAATTGAAGTATGTCTAGTCTGTGTCTCTTATTCTGCCAGTGAATGTCTATACCTTCCAATAAAACCTAATTAATAAATTTATCTGTGTTGATGGAAGTGACCCTTCTTACAAGTAAAGCGTGGATATTAACAGAGGTCTTTGGAGGGCACTAGCTATGAGTTGGTCATGAATGTCATCACAATACACTTGTGTGCAGAGATCTTGGGTTATCTGGAAGAGAGTGAGCTCAGAGTAACCATATGTGCACAAAGACTATTGTGAACAAAGAGTAGTGATTGGACAGGAGGCCAGTGAAAACACAGGTGTGACTGCTAATATACCTGTCTGCTGGTGATGCTGGTGCCTCCATTCCACATACCCTTGTGAACAATTAGATCTCTTTTGCCAGACCACCCAGCTAATAGAAAGTCTTTCTTGACTTGAGTGCAATCCCTCTAACCCGCTTGTCTATGTCTCTGTGGCTCAAGAGGACCAGATCCTCGAGGACTTCCTGGGTAATCCAGAGCCATGGAGACTAGGAACAAGCAGGAAAGCCAGTTATAAGGAAGGGACACTTTCACTGGCCACTGGTCATGGGACACCAGATCTAATGTGTTCATGAGATGGAGTTCCAGGAGGACAGCCACATCTGCAGCAGGCAGACCAAGGAGTGTGGCATTTTCAGGTAAGGGCACTTCCTTATTTCCTCATTCAGAGGAACCCTGAATACTTATAAGCAAACTGAACAAGTCATTATAAATCATAAGGAGATGTGCACCTAGGACCTTGGAACAAAGAAAGGATACAGGATGGAATTTAATTAGTAAATATCTTTCCTCCCTTCTTACGTGCCAAGTTCTACTTATCTTTGATTTTGGATATTTCCAGCACTTTATTATGGAAATCTTAATGGTTGGAAATCACCCCAATGGACTTTACAAGTTCTATTTGGGGGAGAACTCTCATCCTTATGAATATATGTACTAAGATATCTCACATAAGACTAAATTTTGCTTATGAATATAAGATAGTATAGGTACAAACACACAAAATCATATTATTTAATCAAAGAGAAATGTAAGTGGTATGACTATAAATAATTTTTGTTTGTTTTTCTTTTTTTTTTTGAAATTTTGAACTTTATTTTATTTACTTATTTATACAGCAGGTTCTTATTAGTCATCCATTTTATACACATCGGTGTATACATGTCAATCCCAATCTCCCAATTCATCACACCACCACCA